CAGCGCGCGCCGGCCCCCCCCAGCCGCTCCCTGGGGGTTCTGGCTGGGTGGGGCATAGAGGCAGCACCTGGGCAGTCAGGGAAGGCTTCCTGGAAGAGGGAACATCACAAATTGGGTTTGAGAGGACTGACTGGGGCAGGAGGAGGGTCCAAGCAGAGGGGACAGGGTGTGTTGGTGTGTGCACACAAGTGCTGGCAGAGAGAGGGGAAGGCGCTCGGTGGGGGCATAGCCAGGCTACAGGGAGGACCTGGGGTCCTGGCTGGGTGATGCTCTGGAGTGGGTGAGTCTGGGGGTGCACAGGCTCCCCTCAGGAGCCCACGTCCAATCGAGGTGAGGGGCCAGCTGGGAGGCAGGCTGGTTCCAGGCTAAGCTCACAAACTGGGCTTTGTGGCCTGGGTGTGGGGTGGGGACAGGTCCCCGCCAAGCTCACAGGACTCCCCTCACCCCAGCCACTGGCCCCGGGACTGTGGAAAGCGGCTAGCATCCAGGGGAGGGGTTGGGAGCCCCGACATTCCACCATTTGAGAGTCAATCTTTTGGGCTCCTCTGACATTTCTGGGAGCACCTGGAACATTCTAGGCCAGTGGTTTGCAAGAGCTGCGTGAAAACAGCAGGGCATCTCCTACAAAGACAGCTTCCCAGAGAGAATGGAGGCCCAGGCTGGGGCACGCTCTCCGGAGGAGCTGGGGTGGAGGTGCCGCTCCCCTGCGCCAGCACCTTCAAACAGGGTCTCAGAGCTCAGGGTACACGTCCCCCACACCTGCCAGTGCCCAGGCCTGGCCGCGGCAGGCGCAGGCGCAGGACCCACTCCCTCCTGGGCACAGCGGTCCTCGCCTCTATGGGGGAAGGGTATCTGCAGTGGCCAGGTGCTCAGAGCGGCTGGCGGGGGGGGCCCGCGGAGGTGGGGACGGGGAGGTTCGGCGAGCCAGGCGCTGGCCCTGGTGTTTGGGACCAGCAGGTGCCTGAGGCCTTGCAGCCCTAACACTCTAGCACAGGGGTCAGAAACTGCGGCCCACAGGCAAGAATGCTTTTCCTGTTTTTTTTTTTAGTTTTTTGGTCACAGGGCACATGCACTTGCTGGAGGGAGACAGAGAGGGGTAGTGAGAAATCCCCCCGCGGCCACGGTGCAGTCCCCTCTCCTCCGATCTCCTCTCAGGATGTCGGGCACATGTGCGCTGCATGCATCTCCAGCTGCCGGGTCTGGGACTTGAACTGCAGTGATCACATGGGAATCCGATGCCTTAACCACACACCACCTGCTGACCTCACTTTTACATGTTCAAATGATTTTCAAATCAAAATCAAAAGTATGTTTCGCGGCATGCGAGAACGATACGATGTCCCAATTCCGGGGTCCTCTGATAGCACTGTATTGGCACAGGCCGCGGGCACCCTCCGTCTCGCCTGGGCCCAGCACTGCGGGGTGGCACCGTGGCTGTGACCTGCCCCGCCCTCGGGCATGACGCTGGCCCTCTGAGAGGAGCGCAGGCGCCGCCCGGGCTCGGTACTCACATGAGGGCCCAGCCCAGGTAGTTGGCCGTGCTGCCCCAGTACATGGGGTTGTCCAGGACGTTGAAGGGGAACGAGGTCACTCTCGCCTCCTTGAGGATCCCGAAGTAGTCACCTGTGGATGAGGCGGGGTGGGAGGGAGGGTCACTCCACGGGCTGTCCACAGTGGCCACACCACTGCCCTGAGGCCCCAGGGTGGGCAGCGCCCTACCACCACCACCTGCTGTGGCCATGGCCCATGGCCCGTCACTCTGGGAGTGGGCCCCCAGTCACCCAAGGAGCTGGCCACGGTGGGCAGACGCGACCCTCAGACCGCTCCAAGGCAGGCAGTCACCTACACGCCCGCCCTCGGTCACAGGCCCTCTCCGGGCCACACTCGACAGAGGAAGGACCCGGGGTGGCGGGCACAGGCCCTACGCCGGAACGGTCGGCAGCTGCTGAGTGGAGGACGCTACCGCGCCCTCCTGCGGCCTCCGCGCCCTAGGACCCTCTCGCTGTCTCTGTCCAGGAGGACAATGACGAAAGTAGGGCAGCCAGCCTGACAACGGAAAGCAGCAGGCAGAGAGGCCGCGGGGGCTGCGTCACTACTGTCTGGGGACAAAGGGTGCAGGGAGGAAGCAGGAAATGGGGCGCTGGGGCCTGGGGCGGTGGCACAGAAACCCACTTCGGGGGACGCTGGCAGGAGGCCAAGGCCTTGCCTGCATCCAGAGCTGCCAGCCCCTCGGGCGTTTCTAGGCCGTCTGCCCGGGGTGTATCCAGGTTCTTTCCCGTCCCTCCTCGGGACCCAGCCCTGACAGGCCGTCGCCCAGGCCAGGGGCTCTGCCCACGCCACCTGCAACCCTGGGCTTCCAGCTCCACCTGGAGCCTGCCCCCTGCTTGCAGAGGACCAGCCTGCCACAGCACCCAGGCTGCCCTGCCCGCGGGTCCGCGCAGAGGCTCTCTAGCTGCTCCTCGCCCCAGCTCGGTAAGGAGGCCAGCCTTCCGCACCCAGGTCCCCACCCGACTCCTGCCCCCAGGCCACCTCTTCCTTGCTGTGACCCCTTCTGTGCGCCCACCCCTGGGAGGGAAACCTGAGCCCCTCACGTGGCCTCAGGACCACTGTCCCACCTCCAGCCTGCCCCGGTCAGCACTCCTGCACAGCCCCGCTCTGTCCTGACCCCTGGTCCTCCACTCCAGGGTCTGGGCCACCCTCGCACCTGTCAGTCAGGACCCGGCTCCCTAGCTGCTGCCTGAGCGCGGGGCTCTGAAGCGCCTGCTGGTGCCCCACTGCTGTGGACACCCTGCCAGACCTTGCCATGGGGCAACCGGCCTGGAACTCGCAGCTGCCACCTCATCTCTCTAAGGACCATTAACCCTGAATATGCAGCCCCTGGGAGCCCCAGAGGGGCAGTGCAGCCGCAGAGGCTGTGCAGGGCGGGCAGCGGCAAGCCAAAAGGACTCTGCAGATGGCCACTGGGCTGGGGCAGCCTGGCCACTGACTCACTGAGTCCCTGTGTCCAGCCCAAGGCCATGGGTGGAGAAGGACCCAGCACCTTGGCCAGCTGTGCTGACTCCTGGCTGGGGGAGTTCCCTTCACACTGTGGCCGGGGCTGCCTCCTGCCCCTCTGCCCCCGAGGTCCTGCCCTTCAGCCTCCCTGCTGCAGGGCTCCCGCTTGGCCACCTCTTCCCAGGCCGGAAGGAGGTAGAAGCTGCAGCCATCGTGAGGGTGGGTGGGCACTGGGCCAGGCCGGCACCAGCTGCCACCTGAAAGCAGCAGGGCCACCAGCAGTGGTGACTGCAGGGTCCTCCTGCCCTGCACCACACCCAGCCCCGTCTGCACCCACATAGTGGAGCCGCGCCCCTTGCTGGGAACTGAGCGTGCCCAGGGCAGTGCCCGAGGTGGCCGTGGAGCCCTGGGCTCCTGTCATGGTGCGCCCAGCCCAGTGACCACCTCACCCCTTCATGCGAGCAGGGCTCAGGGCCCTGTGCCAGTGGCCAGGCCCAGGAGACCACCCTGCAGCCCTGCAGAGCCAGGCAGGAGCTGGTGCCACGCCCATGAGGCAGGAGCACAGAGGCCTGGAGCTGGAGGCACTCAGACCTTGCTGGGCAGAGCCCTGAGTGGGAGGCGAGCCTCGGGGCAACAGTCTCCCAGCCGCCCAGGAGGACATCCCAGGTGGCAGGGCGGCAGCCACTGGGCCCAGCCCCGAGCAGCCCTCCCCAAGGTCGCCCAGCCCTCGAGGTCTTACCAAGGAAGGTGCCGGTGAACCCCAGTGCAAAGAAGCTGGACAGCACGAGCACGACGCCCACCCCCAGGAACGCCAGGCCCAGGCGGTAGGCGGTGGGGTTGTCCAGGCTCTCCATTTGGGGCTGGCTCAGCATGGCCTGTGTGAAGCTGCAGGACAGGAAGACGGATGTCACTGCACTGGAGGAGGCCATGCACCCTCTTGCCCCCCCAGGGGCCCCCAGAGAAGAGCCAGTCCTGGGTCGTCTGTTGAAGCACAAGTGGGCGGGCCAGGGCCACTTGTCCTGCCTCTTCGGGGCGACAGGGAGAGGTGCTCAATCCTGCCGGAGTGTTTTGACTTTTCAAAAAAAGCCAGAAATCCTGACTCGCATGTGGACCACCCCGATGCTGAGGACCAGGCAGCTCGCGGGCAGCCCTGGAGCGTGCACAGCCCCAGGCACACCTGGGCCCGCCGTGCGCTACAGCGAGTCCCTCAGAGAGAAGGCTGGCTCAGGAAAGAGGCCACGCAAGCGCCAGGCTGCACGGCAGGCCCCAGGCCCGGGGCCTGAGTGCCCATGCCCAGTGTGCACACACGGTCATGGGCATCCCACTCCCTAGTGGGCACAGTGCCGTGAGGCCGGGGCGGGCACGGTGGCCTCAGCTTCCACGGCCCCTGCACAGGTCTGGCCACATCTGGGCGCCCACCTGAGTTCATGTCCTCCTTCACACCCGCATTTCCCTGTAGGGCCAAGCCAGGGCAGGACTTGGTAAAGGCAGCGGGCTGAGGAAGGAGAGTGGTTATAAGAGCATGGCAATGGATCTAGAGGCCCGGTTCACCACTTGGCTCCCGAGGACTGGCAGGCCTGGTGCAGGCAGGGCCCAGGGTCCAGGCATGGGTAAGGGGCCCAGAGGGCACCACTGTGAGGCCCGGCTGCAGAGGAGGGGCACCCAAAGGAAAGGCTGTGTGTGGCAAGTACGTGACTGAGCCGAACGCACTCCCACTCTCCCCACGGCCGTGCCACTTGCAGGAGACGGAGACTTGACCATCATGGCAACTGCTTGCTCTCTCTGTGCCACGCCCACCTGCCCACCCGCCCGCGTAGCCGTCCATCCACCTCCCGTCCACTGACCCACCTACCCACCCGTCTACCCCCCACCCATCCCTTCATCCATCCCCTCCACCTCCCCCACCCCCCCCCCC